ATCCAGATGGTGCGCAGGTGCTCTCGCATCGACTTCTTACTCATACTTGCTTTCGCCAGGCAAAATATGATCACTTGCATTGTGCAAGCTCGAATGCCATTGGCTTCGGTGAATGACAGGCCGACCCTCATGGTGGTGTCATAAATATTAAAATAGACAAACCATGGTTGCCGCGGATTAATCGCCCGTTTTTTTTTAATTGTGTTCAGGTAGCCGACAGTGTTTCAGAAATTGGGCTGATACTGGCATCTAATTGTTGCTCCCTGCTATGCTCTGCGATACCCAACGAGTTGGTCCAACGTAAATTTCCGTTTGCCATTTGAATTTTTGCCTGAACCACATTGCAGATATCGGATTCTTGAAATTCGCGAGTCCTCCCCACTCGTCCAAGAACCGCGATATTCTCCAGGGGTGCGACGAATTGGAAAAATCTAGAATTAGCGGAACCACCTGAGAGAAGGGAAGGGATCGATAAGGTTTGATTTTGGTAACTGTGCAGAAGTCCAACCCTTCATTGATGGGTACCACAGTGTCGGGTCACAATAACTTGAAACGGCGGACGAAAGGCATTTGATTGGCGCCCAATACCAACCTAGTTGTATGGTCAGTTTGTTATGATCTTCAAGAGAGACGGCGGCGCTCGGCGCTCGGTTGCTAAGGTATGTAATGATTCTGCTAGTCCGATGCATTTTAAGACGCAATGGATCTACAGTATTGACGTTATGCAAGCATTTCTCTTGCAATGGACTTCGCCTGAGTAACATATTAGGTGGTTGACAGCTGAGCGCCTAGAACAGTGCATTCTGGTAACTTTACGGTGCCTTGAACTGGAGAACATTGGTGAATCTCAGCTTGATGGCAAACCTAAGCTTGAGAAGAGAGTCTGATCGGATAAGGATCCATTTTGTCGATGCCGCACTCTGCACTGCGCCATGTACATTGCAGACATCAGGCGTACTAACTCACGTTCACGTTGAACCATGCTGGCGGGCTGAAGTTGTGTGGGGCAATTCATTAGCACAAAATGTAATACATCACGACGTTCAGTAGTGTTCTTCATCAACCAGTCGTCCTAGGCTGTACAAGAAAAAGGTTCATCAATCGGTACATGGAGATAATATCAAGCAAGAAAAAAATCACGCACCTTGACCTCGTCGCCAACCTTGCGCACCCAAACTGCTCTGACTGTACCGCCTTCTTTTTTCAAACCTTCGTCCCCCTCATCCCACGTATAACTCACACCCACTGCTAGACGTGTGCCATCGCAGTTGAACGCGATACTGGGAATCGCAGACGCATATTTCGGGTACTGCCTAAGCCGTTTTTTGACCTTATGATCCCAGATGGAGACGGTGCCGTCTGAACCTGCAGATGCGAATGTATTGTGTCTGATCACATGGTATGGGCAATAAGTGTGAACTGATCAACTACGGTCAAGAAGGAGAAGACACATACACTGGATGAAATGCGAGTGCATTAACTGGCCAGACGTGATCCACATCCTCGATATTTTGTCTGTGGCACTTGAACGCATATTTCTTATCCTGGATTTCTGGACTCGGGTCAAAGTACTCCACGCCGATCCGGCCTTCCACAGAGCCGATCGCATAACCTAGGAGTGAGTGAAACCATAAAGCACGTTACCCCTAAACACGAAAGGAATAACGATAGACTCACCCTGTCCATCAGCCATGCACGCTAAACTCCTCGTCATGAATTTCAAACTGCTTTCTCTTGTCTGCGCGGGCTCGGACATTCGTCGTACGTCATATATATGGAACAAGCGCGAGGCCATGGAGACAACAAGCGTATTGTTCACTACGTCCATGTGGTAAACGCGTTCAGGGAGCGCATGATCCGATACTTCTGCTTTTGGTGTGCGGGGATCCCAGAAACGAAGCGATTGGTCCCATGAGCCAGAGATGAGTGTGTCTGATAGGTAATAGTTGAAAGGAATTTAAGAATATAGGGATAAGATACGCACTGATTTCACGTGCATAAGAAAGCGCAGAGACCGAGTTGGAATGTTGACCCAGAGAAGTCACCCTTTCTGTTGTGAGATCAAGCCTGTGAGAAGAGTCAGCGTCATTCTTGAGGAAATAAAATGGGGATACGCACTCCCGCACTCCAGTATCCAAGCATCCACTGTAGGCATGGGTCGAGTCGCCGAACAGACAGGAAAGGACGGCTGCGCGATGGTCAAATTTGGCTTTTTGTTCGTTCGTGGCTACATCATAGAACCGTACAGTCTGGCGATGTGTGGTTAGATCCCGGCGGACGAAAAAGATAGATGGAAGCTCACAGTGTCCCAAGCAGATACCAGGAGATGGTCAGGGTTTGTCGGGGAGAAGCGTACCTGGGATACGCTGTCGAACGGAGGTGATGAGAGTTCCACTTGATCTACACATGTCCTTAGTGACATGGATATACATTGTCAAGGAAAATATATAGACTTACCAGCCATGTACAGAGATACTAGAGCGGACGCCGAGACTGCAAAGAAAGTTATGCGCGCAGGGACACAGCCACTGCATGCACAGGCGTGGTCACGTGAGGACAGTCCGTACCAGACGATCAGTCGATGATTAATTGATTCGATATCGATTGACGCAAAGTACTACACCCGACTCACCCGTCAGTATCCAACTACAGGGACCTAACGTCCCAAGGCCAAACTCCACTACCTATGTGGTACTTGGATATATCGCAGTCTGCGATCAGCAAGGGTTCTCGGGCGCTCACTGGCACTAGTACTCAGGCCGCTTGTATGTAAGTGAACTGCAGCAAATATTGCCTCGAGGCTCGGGTCAAGGGTAGCCTGTTGTTATTTAAACGCCGTGGGACCCACCCTTTCCCGAACTACCTCAACGCGCACCCTTCTCACTGACTCTATCAGCTCCACGACTCGTGCATTCATGGGATGTGCAAATGCGCACATCCCACGGATGCAATCGCTGAGGAAGGCTCGTGGCTATCTGGCCCTGCAGGCAAGGGGAAACTAACTATCACTCACACTACTGCTAAATGGTTCCATGACATGGGAGGGTTCGCTTCATTTTATTGTTTTGAACATCACCGAGAAGCCCACCGTCGCCATGAAAAGGTTTTTTTTCCACCATCGCCCGCGACCTGGTTGATCATCGTGGTTGTAATAGATGCATTGGACGAGAGTGACGGAGTCGAAACACGGTGCCATCTTCTCCGTATCCTTGCTGGTAAACTGGCTGTTTCCCAAATTATGGACCTCTCAAAAAACATCCGTATCGGAGCGTGCGAGAAGCGGCACCGATAGTGTCGGTGTTACTTCTCGCACGCTTCGCGATATCGATAGCGAGGTTGGAGAGGCTTAGCGTATCTGACGGATGTCCATGGACGACATTCCAATAAAAGTCGCGGAGAGCGACATCCACGCTTACATATCGAAGGAGCTGGGGGGCCCCTCGCATTTTGTGGCAGGGATTTTGAAGCCCTAACTGATGGCCTGTTCGAATGGGCCTGTCTTGCTTTTGAATCCATCAAAAACCCCTTCCTGATGTATCTCCAGTTGATTGCTTCGACCTTGTAGCAACTCGCAATCCTGTCCATCGCAGCATGCTGTTGCACGATATGTATCACCTCATTTCGACAGAAATCGTGTACAGGGACAAAACCGCAAATACTAGGCACCAGCAGGTTTGACTACGAAGGCGCTTGAAACATTTCGCTCCGTGATGGGACGAATACCGGGCACGGCCGAAGCATTCTCGTTAGATTCCTTGAACGCATGCGGCGCCATTTTGCAGACGAAGGCAACCGTTACGATGCGGATGTTGTGATAAAATGTGTGGATTCCCTCAGCGGTACCACCAACTCATGCATTCCCCCATATCTATCCTACTCCTGTCGATTTTGGCCTGCGCACGTACGAACACCAATTTTCGACACGAAGCTCGCAGAGGAAGTAAAATTGTTCTTCGACAACGCACGACTTCTCTTCTGGATCGAATCACTGGCCTTATCAACGCGCACAGTGGCGCAGTTACCGACCTTCCGCCCATCGCCCAATGGCTCAAGGTGAGTACATGGTTACTGAATGTCAGAGATCGTGCTTACGCGCAAACGCAGAGCCATTCCGAATTCAAAGATATCTCACCCATTGCAATGGACGTGCAGAGGTTCATACAAGTCTTTGGTGGCATCATTTAACACAGCACACCACATCTGTACGTATCAGTCTTGTCCGTGGTGCTTTCGATGACCTAGTCATGCAGGAGCTAAGCTGCAAGGGTGACTGTATGCTGTATATATGCTTGTGTCACTAATGCGCATGATCCCCCCCATCTACCTTCACTATAGCTACGACTTTGGTCCTCTATCATCATGCATCCATCTTATTCGGACCCTTCAACAGGGTGTACTAGTTGATACTGAGATATCTCTGCCCTCATGCTCGAAGGCGGCCCACATCCTTATCCATCCCTCTGTCAGCTCATCAATCCCTTCCTCGATCCCCTCCGAATTCCCTGTCCTCCGTCTCTTCTTATCTGGTGGTCTCAACGCTAAGCACCTCGACAATATTTATCGTCAGTCCACCAAGTACTAAGTACCTCAGCACCTCCTGACTCCCCCTCTCAGCTCATTGTCCATCCGTGCTGTATGCGCATGATTCTCCTCTTGTTGTATGCGCTCCACATGTTTTATCTCGAAAATTAGAGCTAGAACTAAGTCTCCTTGACTCAGAAGTGAGTGTCACACCATCGTCATCGTCAAGGTAGACTTCCTATCCCACTCTAACCACAGCCTGAACGGAACTGATCATAAACTCTATAGCGTGCCAACAACAGTATTCCTTGACTGGTGACGCACTTTTTCGCTTGATATCTGAATATCGAGAAAGATGGAACAGTGCAGAACATATTTTAAGGAAAAGGACGGGGGAAGAATGAGTTTCGTATCTGGAAGAATGTCCAGAGGTGTTCGTCAGGGAGTACTCGGACGTGGGAGCACGTGTTCTGTATCTGCCGGGCATATCGAAGGAATAGGCGGAAGGTTATCAGTGTTATGTTGAGCCCTGTTGCATTGGCGTGACTCAGTGCAATGAGGGACTTACTAGACGGCAGTTGAAGTCAAGCACAGGGCGACCGGAGCATTAAACTGGCCGACGAATATTAGATGGTCGATTTTCCCTTACAATGGTAGTAGAAACGAGAAGTATCGAAGATACTCCTGCGATGAGTCAAACTCACCAGTGCTTTCGATCGACGGCATTCCTTCCTGGCACATCCCGCATAATGAACCACCAACATATAATCGAGCATTTAATAAATCTGCGAAAGACTCTAGAGTAGGCGATAGCACGATAGGGATGCGAAACAGGAAGAGTATGACTCGGAGGGTGATCCTACAATCGGCAGGTGCTACACCGCAATGAAAAAAAATACAAGGGTACAGTAAAGGTGCACTGACACATGAAAGCATTACGACATAAGAGAACTACACACCGATATGAAT